GGAACATCATGAAACAAAATTTGCAAAAGCAATGTGGACAATGTCGTTACATACCGTGGAATGACACTGCTGTGGTGTCCTGCCGTATGCAATAGCACTACTGACATCGTTTTTGCAAAGTCATTTCATTACATCACCTGACAGTGGATCCAGCTCAATTCCAAACGTCGGCGTTTCGCTTAATAAATTTTAGATGCTGAGTAAATCGGTTGAAAACTTCGGCGAGGAAGAACCTTCTACCTGCATAGAGATGAAATATTCCCTTTAAAACTATACGAGTTCAATCAGACGAAACCGTCGTCAGTCGATATAGAAAAGAGTGAAAAACGAATGACAAGCACCAAGACCATATGAAGCATTGCAGTGTGCAGTGTACAACCATTCATCATATCCATATGATAGGAGGAAATCTGTGAAATGTATACAATATAAAAAAGCTAAACATGCGAAGAAACTGGAACTGAATTCTGCATCGTTAATTATACGCCTAAAACTCAAGGTATACGGTCTTGAACTGGGTGCATGCAACAAAACGCTCGCAGTTGCATACCTGCAAAATCCGTGCAGCCAGAGTGTTCGTCTGCCTCGACTGCCAAGAGTAAATCAGCAAAATTGCTACCGCCAATTACACGTCGACTGTTTGGAAAATCATAGGATGTACTCGGTAGATTCTCGTCATTGGGCTGAAGCATAATTTGTTAATGAGCACAATTTAGTCAAACAAATGCTGCGGTGACAAAAAGACTGCCTTACCAGCGAATCGATTATTTGAAGTGCTGTAATAATGTCCGAGGCAAACAACACGTCACGTTGGGATTCCCGCAGAAAAACGTTACATCTCTTAAACATAGCAAGCTGTCAAGAGAAACATATCACACGCTGATGCCACTCAACCGTACTTCAAGAACTTCCGAGAGATTATGCGAAATCAGCTGCTCCATGTACTCCAAAGAACGGTCGCTGAAGTTATACTCTCCTGACCGAATGATATCCATCAATATAGCAGTCCACACTTTCGTGTTGTCTATAGAATCGATATCACGGCCATCACTGTCGGGTGCGTCAGACATGTTTCCGGTGCAGTTCTTTTTTCTAAACATGGAAAATAATGTCTGCATATCGTTAATCGTATTCATCGTTCAGCCCCCCC